ATGTCTGAAACTAAGAGTGTACGTAGTAGTACACCAGAGCTGGCTTACGCTGCCTTCTGAGTACCAATTTAAAATTTTTAAGGTATTTTGCAGGCTGACTGTTAAACATAGCCATTATCAGAAATTACATAAACTGGCAGTTATTGTAAAATCCAATATATGAGACTGAAAGATAAATACTCAAAACTAATTTTCTAGTCATTTTACAATATTTTATTATTATCCATGTTTTTATGGTTATGCCTATGGTGGAAGTATTATAATTTGATGGTATACCCCTCTTTCCAACTCTTGTGCTCAGTGATGTCTTGTGGTAGCTTGAAGTAGGTCACAGTGGGAGTATTTACCCCAGAGAAATTTGCAAACGTTCACAATCAGAGTTTTTTGGAGGTGGGAGTGAGGGAGGACCTAGTTGTTAGTACACCAGTAAAGACAGAGCCCTTCAAACTATACTGACTTAATGTCTGTGATGAATAATGGAAGCTTCAGTCACATGGAGAATTCACCTTTATGAAACATTTAATTCCTCAAAAACATCAATATTTTTGCTGCAGAATAAAGCTTACACCATCTGTTTTTCTTGCTGCTCAGTTTTTTCTCACTTCCAAGTTCCCTAAGGTTGAGAATGCCAAAGCCTAACTACTGGATAAGGGAGGATGCTAACACATTATTTCTGTGATCTCAAATTTTAAAGTACATAAATTTTTTGGCGGGGGAGTAGAACTAGAAAGGATGTTAAATACAGAAAGTCATAGTGGGCAAAAAAATAAGAAAGACAAACAGCTCTATATAACCAAGTTTCAATTCAGGTAGGAATAGGGGAAATTAGACTAAAATGAGAAGGAGTAAACAGTGATACAAGAGCAAGTCCAAATTCAGCAGAGATGCTGGAAGTTATCTGGAATTTAAAGTTACAGACTTGGTAACAGTACAGCAGTCTAGGGATAATCACACTGCAGAGGACAGATTCTTAGTACAGAGGATGAAGTGACTGCTGTGGTTGAGGTCCGTTACAGTTTATTTTTTAAAAGTACTAGGAGAAACTAAAGATTTCAGAAGGAACAGAAACCATCTTAAATCCCAGGATCTAAATGAAAGGCATATAAATTTAAAATATAAAAAACTAAACATATGCATATGGCTTTCAATAAGACATTCTTTATGTCTCATAAAATTCAAATAGAGGAAATGTTTGCCTGGATTATAGTAAGGTCCTAGTAGGGACAACTATTTAGAGTGATGCACATAAAGAATAACAGTTTGGTATTAAGTTGGAGGGACCAAATAATCCTTAAACTAGTCAATGCTCTATATAATCCCTTTACCAATAAATGGGACAAAATAGGTAAAACTTTATCAACTTAATCAGTAGGTACAAACATTTTTAAGTTAAAAATGAGGAGGGAATACTAATTCCAAAGGAGATAACTTCTTTCTAGGAACTTAAAATCTGGTGAAGGAGACTGAATGAAATGATCTCAGATGAAAAATACCGAATATATGAAACTATTAAATGTAATAGAGAACCATCTGCTGGACATTTCCACAATTAACATTAAATAAATCACTATTTTTCTCCCTTTGTCCTAATTTCCAAAATTGGGCCCTCTTCTGACTGACCTATTTAGGTGAATATATTTTCTAGTCATCAAGATTCAATATTGGAGTAATTTTTTTTCTTTCACTCTTTTCTTATCAGTCTCTACTTTAGGCCTTCAAATGCACATTTAGACCTTCCATTTCATAATATACATTTAAAAATATTGTCATCATTATATTTGTATGACCACTCTGTGAGTTAAGCAGGCGTTAACATTTCATCATTCTGCTGAAGGCCTACAAGGTGACTGGCATGTAAACAGGAAGCAGAGTAAGACAGGTTACATGACTTGCCCAGGGTGACAGGACGCGTCGTTACAAGTCCTGTGATTTGAATGTCAACATTCGTTTCATTACACTATGATGCCTCCCACCAACTCATATTTGGTCCATTACTGTATATCCTAGTGGGTTTCTGGGTCTTTACTCTTCTGTCTGTCTTGCATATCACTATCAGGTTAAACATAGCTTTTATTAAAAGATATCTCAATAAAGAAGTTTTCCAGTGGTTTCCTATTATGTAGATAATAAAAACCAGAATTTTATCTCTGCTTTATATGTGAAATCTCTTATCATACCAGGCCCCTCATGTTCCTTTGAATATACTTTTAACTTCCTGAGACTGCCTTTGCCTCTAACAGTGTTTCCCTTCTTTGAGTTACAGATCCCTGAGTAACAGTAATTGCAGGGGACCTGGACATTACTATATATTATATAATACATAAATATATTTATTATATTACTTACTTATGTATAGTATATAGACTCAACATATGTACAACTACTACGTTATGTGTTTTGATGGAGAGGGGACGGAACATCCAGTAAAGTTTCTGACATTAAAAAGAGTCCCTGCAACCTAAGTGTTCATCAACAGATGAATGGATTAAGAGGTAGTGTGTGAATATACATATATATGTGTGAATAATACTTAGCCATAAAAAAGAATGTGTGTGTGTGTGTGTGTGTATGTGTATATATATATATATATATATATATATATAATAATACTACTCACGACAATAAAAGGAATAAGTTAAATTTTACGTACCTAACCTTAACAACAACTAGTGGTGGTACGTTGGTTATATGAGTAAGTAGAAAGTAATAACAA